TCTAATGGGGGTTTGTTTGATTTTGTTATTGTTGATCAAACCAGAAAAATCGGTGCATTCATAAACAATTTCTCAGAAAAGCTTTCATTTGTCTTCCTCTATTCGAACTGACTTGCATCTAGCTTTATCTGAATGTGAAATTTCCAGTTCTATGTTTCAAAAGTGGCACTTCTGATGAGTCCCATAAAGTTTCACTAGGTTCAAAATGCATTTGTTTCAATCATAGTCATTTGGTAGTTTGATCATTGTTTTTGAACGATTCACTGTGTCATTGAGTTTTGATAGACTCATTATATGCCAAGCCAATTTTCATAGGGATTATAGTCTAAAGTTTCTGCCAGTTTGCTTGCTCTTCAAAATTGACATAAGTTAGTGGGGGAAGTTAAGGCTCTTATCGTATTTGGATCCACCTATCTTTTACTTAGTTGCATTTCCTGTTTGTTCTAGTTTCTAAATACTTTCAACGTTTGAAGGTTTACTTGCCTCATTGGTGTTAACTTGTTTGACTGCCGAGTCCTGGGAGTGGGGAAGGACAAGTCCATTAGTAATGAATTTGCTCACATACTTTAGGATTGGGCTTGGTGGGACAAGTAAAATCAATTGATAAGTAAATAAGCATGATTTAGAATTTTCTTTTACTCTATTTAGTTTTCTTTCGTTGGTCTATTTAATTTCATTGTCCACTAGGAGCATGTTTAGGCCGACTACATTTGGGTAGGCAAGCTTTAGGACTTCTATTAATTTTGAGGCGAGAGGTCGTTCCCTTTAGTTAAATTTATCCGGAGAATGCCTCGTAGTACTTGTATTTGGAGGCCAAAAGTAGAGCTTGCAGTATTTGATTTTTATTTTATTTTTCTTTTATTAGGTGGGGACGACCTCGAGCCCTTTGTGTGTTTATTTTTCAGTGTTTGTTTTACCCCAATTCGAATATTCTAAAAGTCGACTAGATTAAGTGTGCAACCGTACTAGTTACGGGACTTGGGGAGTTCCTAATACCTTCTCCCCGAGTCAAATGAACCCCTTTACCCAAATCCCTGGTGTAGACTTAGTTTTGGAGTCCAAAGTGTTTTAAAGGAAAAAATTATTTTTTTTAAAAACGGTGACCTGGCACACCGAAATCGAAGTTAGGTGGCGACTCTGAGTTATTTCCTTTTGAACACAATTTTGTCACTTTTTTAATTAAAACCTCTTTTGAGCTTTACAAATCACTTTTATTATTTTAAGAGGGTTAGTGAGTTTTACAATTAAAACCTCTTTTGAGTCACCACTCTGTTTTCTCCATTTTTGCTTTTTTATGCTTTGCTCATCCATGTTTTGTGGTATCTGGTTGGCCGGATCGAATCTGAAATGATTTTGGTAAGATATGAGACACTTAGTCTCTTTTAAGGAAGTTTAAGTTGGAAAAGTCAACCGGATGTTGACTTCTATGTTAGAGGGATCGAATGTGAGTTCCGGTGGTTCGGTTAGCTTCGGGAGGTGATCTGGGATTTAGGAGTGTGATCGGAATGAGTTTTGAAGGTTCGGAGTAGATTTAGGCTTGAATTGGCGAAGTTGATATTTTGGCGATTTTCGGTTGGTAGATGAGATTTTGATATAAGGCTCGGAATGGAATTCCGAGAGTTGCAGTAGCTCTGTTGTGTCATTTGGGATGTGTGTGCAAAATTTCAGGTCATTCGGACGTGGTTTGGCTGGGTTTTTTCTCAAAAGCGGAATTCGAAGGATTTTGGAAACTTAGGCTTGAATTCGATGTGTTTTGGTTGATTTGATGTTGTTTGAGGTGTTTTGAAGGTTGGTACAAGTTTGAATAAGGTTTTGGGTTATGTTGGTGCCTTTGGTTGAGGTCCCTAGGGCCTCGGGTGAGTTTCAAGGGGTTGAACGGATCATTTTGAAGTTAAGAAAGTTGCAGATTTTGAGTTCCAGCAGTTGCAGGTATTTTGGTCTTCGCGTTCACGAGTGGACCCTCGCGTTCTCTAAGGGTCAGGAAGGGAGGCATCAGGTTTGGCCTTCACGTTCGCGAAGGAGAGTCTCGCATTCGCGAAGGGTCGGGTTAGTATGCATCGCTTTCGCGAGAGGCATTGTCGCGTTCGCGTAGGTTGAGAGGTTGAAGCATCGCGTTCGCGATGGTAGGGTCGCGTTCGCGAAGGAGAGTTTTGGTCAGCGGAATTTTTGTGCTTCACGAAAGCGAGGCATTGATCGCGTTCGTGAGGAAGGAATTAATGCATGGGCAGAAGGTTTTTAAGATCGTCTTGTCCGCGATTTTGGGGCTTATTTCCTCCATAGTTGGTCGTTTTTGGAGCTTTTGAAGGAGATTGAAGAGGGATTCAAGGGGAAACATTTGGAGGTAAGAATTTTGGACTTAAAACTCGATTCTATTGTGAAATCTACCTAATAAATCATGGAATTTAAGCCTAAAATTGAGAAATTAAGGCTTGAGATTAAGAGACTTTAAATGAGGAATTGAGGGGTCATTTGGACTCCAATTTCAGTGTTCTTGATATGTATAGACTCGTGGGAGGATAAGGATTCTGGTGATGTAATTTTCATCGAGTTTCGAGATGTGAGCCTGAGGGTCGGGTTTGGCCAATTTCGAGATTTTTGGTATTATTTGATTGTTTTCGCTTGGGCTTCGTTCCCTTAGCATATTTTGACGTCGTGATTCTGATTTTGGATAGATTCGACATGAGTGGAGGCCGATTCGAGGGGCAAAGCCTTCGCGAGCTAGAGATTTGACCAGTTCGAGGTGAGTACTGATTGTAAATGATGTTCTGAGGGTTTGAAACCCCGGATTGCACATCGTAATGCTATATTGAGGTGAGGCACACGCTTGATGACGAGCGTGGTTTGTGCACTATTGGGGATTGTTACTTGGTCCGTCCCGACTGATGATTTTACCGCGTATTTGACTGAAATCTACTTGTTTTCATCATTATTTGGGCTGAATGCCATATTTGGGCCTTGTGCCAACTATTTGAACTCTTAGGGGTTTTTTACTGGTATTTCTTCACTGCTTTGACTTTATATTGAACTCAGTCATGTTATATTTCACTGTTTTCGTACTCAGCCATGTTTACTCTGTTTTAAACACTTACATGATCTTTTAAACGATATTTTTGGGATGAGAAACATGTTTTACTACTGCTCGAGTGGCTTGTGAGGATTTTTGACTGAGTAAGGCCGAGGGCCTATGTTGTGAGGAAACATTTGATACTGATTATGAGGCCGAGGGCCTGAGATATGTATGTCACGAGGTGGCTTGATTGATATGAGGTCGAGGGCCTAGTGATGATGCCACTAGGTGGCTTGATATTACGCTTGGGCCGTAAGGGGCCCCTCTAGGAGTCTGTACACCCCCAATGAGCGTGGTACCCATTGTGATGTGAGATTGAGCCTGAGGGGCTGGTATTGTTCTATGTGATTGCCCGAGGGGATAGTACTGTTCTGAGATGATTGCCCGAGGGGCGGATTTGTTGACACTATGCCCGAGGGGCGAGCCTTTATGTGTTTACTTTTCATAATTGACTGTCAATTACCTGCTTAATCATTAAAAAAGGCTTTTTCATGAAACTACATTTGAGTTAAAGAATTTTACATTTCACTGATTTACTGTTTTTAAGTGGTTTTACTGCTTTATTATAGAATGTTTTGTGCCTTACGTGATTTCTTGCTTTCAGTCTTTATTTACATTTGTTACTCACTGAGTTGGAATACTCACTTTACTCCCTGCACCCCTGTGTGCAGATTCAGGCGTTGCGGATCCTGCCAGTGCGAGTTGAGAGCTCCCGGTAGATATCGGAGTCCACGAGGTAGTTGTTTGACGTCCGCAGTCCCGTGTTTCTCCCTCTTTATCTTTTCTATCTCTTATCAGATGTTTGTAATAGTTTGTAGACTCTTCAGACTTGTAATAGGTTATATAGATGCTCATGACTAGTGACACCCCGGTTAGGGCTGTGTTGGGTTATTTTCCGCAAACTGTGTTATTAGCTGCTTAAACCTTAGTTTAATTGATTATGCTTTATACTGTTTCTTATTGTTTAACTGTTTAAAAATAGAATTGGGTTTAATTGGCTGACTTTGTTTTCATGAGAGGCGTCATCACGACCGGGTCCGAGTTTGGGTCGTGACAGACACACAGCAGCTTGTAGTAGTAGCTTATATAACAGCTTCTTTTCTTCTATAAATAGAAGATGTTTCAGTTCATTATATACATCAGTTTGAATTCAAATAATATGTCAATTTTTCTTTATACTTGTCTTTACTTTATAATCTTTATTTTATAACAATAAGATCAATGTAGTAATCCGGCAAAACAAATTTATGCTGTTAATATATTAAACTATATTTTATAACTTTTAGAGGAAGAAAAAGAAGAAACTATAATTAGCAGTCAGCTATACTCCTTTTGTTGTGAAAAGGCACATGGATAGCTGACATCAATTAGCATGACAAGTAGATGGAGAGTTGACACTTGTCAGAAGAATGTGCCACTGGTTGATGAGATAAAGACGGGACAATTTCGTTAAATCGTTAAAGATTTTATGTAGCAGCTACAGTAAGTTTCGTTTCCAGCCAATCGTATAGCTCTGTTTTATCCAAATTACAAAAATACCCTTGTCTGTGGCAGGCAGGCATGTTGACCTTGAGGTGCTGTATTCCCTCTTATTAAGTATAGTAATAGTAAAGTAATAAGGAACAAACCCTTAAGTTAATACGCTGCATGATTTTAGGCATATGATTAGGGTTTCAGTTTTGGTTGGGATCTACTATTCGAGGAAATATTTTATGTCTACTATTGATATAGTAAATGTGCTGCTAGAAATATGTATTATGTTGTTAAAAATTACACAGACATGCAAAGCTCCCGCTTCTCTTCAATTTCGTAATTAAACTTTATATCAAAACTCATTTACAAGATAAAGTCCAAAGTACTTGCATGTAAAATAATAAGTCTTGTCTTACGCTCCATGCATATTTTTTCTGTGGAAAAGATCCAGCTTGGAAGGTGACCAGCAAAACCGTTTTCTGATAAAGACAATTAAACCAAATTTTACATACAAGGGACCGATATAAGAAGGGTTTTTTAGACTTAAACGCTAGAGCTCAAAATCTGACTTCACAAGTTCATACGTTGAGAAGAACTGTACAAGTAGCCATTGTAGTATATAACCTATGCCTTCGCCTTACAAGTTAAAATACTATCTCATCTATCAACTTTCATACACATTTTTGCAGGCCACTGTAGTATATAACCTATGCCTTCATCTCATTTAACTATTTCTACTGCATTTAAGTTACTCTGCCCAAGTCTGAAAGGATGTCTACTTTTCTATTAGTTATCCTACTCTGTATCTACATATCTCTAGCTTACTGAGAAGGCTTGATTGTCGAAGCAGTTTGTAGAAAGAGCACGGACGGTATGTCCCTGATCCGATATCCACCTCCCCAGAAAGAGGCAAGACAAAGGCCCATGATAGCCATTGCAACTACGGAACATGCAGGAGGGACCGCTTGAGTGCTCCCGAGGAATTGGGTTGCAAGAAGCCCTGCCAGCGTGGAACTCTGCATTCCTGTGCATACTGAAATCGTCCTGCAGACTTCTTCTTCAAACCTGCCATTGTACCAATTATTATATATAGATGATTTTCGAACTACACTTGATAAATGGTCTTATATTAACTAGAGGAGCCTTCAGTGAAGAATGAATATGCAATTAGTAAGTGTTCAATAGAAATATATCACAACTGAAAATGTCATATAAATTCATGTTTTACTCGACGCATACTGAAAGAACAGTAGATGAGAAAAACATCGTGAGTTCTCTTCAAGCCCACATATTGCAATAAATTGAAACAACTAGAGATACAAGTTTCAGCACCAAGAGTTGAATAGTATAACTTTTCAAGAAATCAAGTAAACTGAAGAATTCAAATATGCTTTTAAGCACCCATTAAACGGCAGATGCTCCACCTAATAAATTGGCGTACATCACATGTCAATTGATGAAGGAAAAGTGTTTCTTTTATAATGGTGGCATCTGGGCTAGCTTGCCTACACCTCGACAATTCCGCCGGCTGCCTAGCTACCTCCAACCAGCACAAGTACCGGGTAACTCTGCCTATCAAGGCTAAGATGGAAAATGTAGGAAAGGTATGTTTTAACTAATGGAAGGAGCAACTGATATGCTCTTGCATCACTAGGATGAAACAGAGTTTGGATAGTCTAGTCTGTTTATATATAATAACAGAAATACCTATTTATGGTGCAACAAATGGTATATTGATAAGTATCTCGTAATTACAAACTAGAGAACAGCTCCAAAGCATTAATTATCATGATGGGAAATGTGACAAGTATACATGCTTTATCTTAGACGTATTTCATCACATACAACAGTCCACAGATAGAAGAGACTTAGACAATTACCTAAAAAATGGAAGTTTCGAGAGCCAATAACCCACTGCAAATGCCACTGCATGAAATGTCAGTACAGGACCAATCAACCTGGCACCCTCAGCAGAAAGAATCTGAGCACGGTTGATTGCAAGAGGACTGCCAATACACAGTGAAGTACAAATCATGGCAACGAAAGGCATCACGGGTTGTATAACAGATACTACTGGTTTTGCATAGGTGTTCAGCGCTAAGCCAAGAGTGACTGGGAGAAGAACGACCTGCAAAGACAGTAAATGAATGACTATGGACACATTTTGACGTAGATGGCTGAGGAATTATGATATAAAAAAGCTTTTCACCTGTAATGTTTGGTATACTACAATTACACTAATTATCAAGCAGCAATTGTGTAAGGGCATTTGATACCTGCAAGATTGACTTTGACATTGCAACTGCATCAACTGGAACAACTGAACCAATGAGAAGGCCAGTTAGAAGTGGAGTAACAAGAACTGAAGCAATGGTGCTTGAACTGGTCAAGAGAATACTGAACGCCACGTCACTTTTGCTCAAGAAGCTGGCGTAACTTGATAATTGAGCCCCAGCAACACAAGACATCAGGACAAAACCAGCATAGAACGCCTGAGGCATCCCAAATGCCTGTGCTACAAGTATGCCAAGAGCTGGCTTCAGGACATACTGAGCAATGAATCCAACAGATAAGGGCAAAGGTCTGCAACCAACAAAGCTCAAAAGCTTTAACACCAAAATGCTAACTACCTCAACAATGACCAGGTCCATAAAACTAGTAAAATTGGCCTAACCTTTTAATAGCGAGAGCAAAATCATCAATGGAAAGTCTAATGCCAATTGACAACATGATTCCTCCAAGCGCAGGAGCGTACATTTCTTTAGACACCCTGCATTTTTTCTATCGTTTATACAAAGCAACAATATACAAATGTTTAAGAAAACATAAAGTGGTAACTCAAAGCAAGATTTTAACCCAGCAAGAGTATATTAGAAAGAAGTAAAACATGCCCCAGGAAGAAAGTAAATTCGATTTCCCCTAAATAGACTTCAATTTCAGAATCTGATACATTATTTACTAGTTTATGTCATCGTTGCTGATATAAATAGAACTCCATCTTATGGCTATTAGAGACTAAGATGTACAAAAACAGAGGAATATACCGTAGGCTATAGTGAATGTGAAAGGGATTTGCTTCACCTGCAAGATATTAGCACTCCTGTTTATTTTACTCATAAACCCAAAAAAAGGGTTGCAGAACTAAACTTAATAAATAAATTATATATGCATCCCCTATAATAACTTTGGGAGTGTTCATTCAATACCTTTCAACAAAACATTTTGCTAAAGAAAAAAGGTAAAATTAAATACAAACACGCAAAACTAAAACGAAAAGTACAAAATTTTAAAAATCAATAGGGACAAGTTTTCAACTGACAGTCCGCTAAACCTACCTAAACCCCTCCGAAAAGAAAGGGTTCAAAAAAGATATTCCTACGAAATGATTTTATAATAAGCAGAAATTACTGAAAGCAATAACTAAAAAGCACAATAATTTATTTACAGTTAGAGTTCCGCAATGAAATAAAAGGTAAACAGAAGTGATCATTACCAAGTGAAAGTGGAAGGTTGAGAAAGAGCAGCAACAGCAGTGAGCGCCACAACAAATGGAAGTAATGCAGACAAAGCTTGTGAATAATCCGCCTTTTCATCTTCGACATAAAAACTCCTTGGATTTGCACCAAACGACAGTAACGAAAAGTTACCTTCCCGTCTATGCAAACCCACTCTCCCAATTAACGGCGACGAAGTCGAACATGCAACTGCGTTTAACGAGCCCCCATTAAGACCTTTTACGTTTTTAATAGCTTGAGAGCTTAAATATCGGTTCTTGCTATGCAAAATTGAGAAATTGGATATTGAATTGGGGGATAAAAGATAAGGTTTTGGGTATTTAAGGGATAAAGATGGAATTAATGACATTTTGAGGTTGAAGGGTAGCTTCACCGGCGAGTATGAATGTTCCCGATCGCCGGAGAAAATTGGGTTCTTTCCCGGCGAGGGAAGAAAAGAAATGAGAGGAGGAGCAAAGCGCAGAAGCGATGATTACTAAAAATATTTTTGTTGATTGAATAATGAAAGAAGAGAAATTTTTCTATTGTGTTACGCTGATGTAAGTTCTCTTTACAGTTGTAAGTATTTCAGTAAGCTATTTAGTATTTATACTTGACTGCAAGATTTATAGCTGCGCCCGCGGCGTAGGAGATTTCTTGTCCCAAGTATAGACGGGTATTTGCAATGTCACCCTCTTCTAACTCATATTTACCTGTAAACTCTTCGTTTCTTATTATTTATTTATTTGTGAAATTCTTCATAACGTGGACAATTTTCCGTCATATATATATGTGTGTGTAAGAAAGAAGCTACTTCTATAACCTTTGAAGTATTTTATGATTTTTATAAATTGACTAGTCCTGTTTTTTAAACAATTCAACTTTATTTCTGTGCATCTAATATTTAATTACTTATAATCTAATAATAGTATCTCAAATTTTTCATCAGAAGTTACATACTTTTGCAACTTTTGGAAGTTTCGGAAGTTTTGCAAATATATTATTGGTGTCGAATCAAATTGAAGACATCAACAGTATATAGCACTTATTCATGGAAAAATTTATGGTTCTTTAAAATATAAATTATGGTTCTAATCAAAGCTAAATTTAATGTTGAAGTCGTCAAATTAGATTCTATTTTACTCGTTCCTAGCATTTGTATGGTTTAGTCTTCAAATCCGACACACACACATACATACATACATATAT